GTTTTTGAACTGTGATGGTTCCCTAAATCAGCAACCTCTGGATTCATTGGGGTGTGCTCTGTTTCAAGCCTCACTTCAAAGGCTTTGAGCTGCACGTTGTCAGAATCATCATCTTCTTTTCTCGTGCTCTTTTGCAATCTACCTGCACTTGTCAATGCAGCTCAGTTTTCCTTTGCATAAAGAAATGTGTGCAAACAAAGGAAATCGTGTGCTGGTTTATAGGTGTGGTGCACTAGCTGCAGGTGTGGTTTCTGTGGTTATGGGTTTCACCTTCGCTCTCAGTTTGAAATATAGGAGCTTCTGCTGGTCTGTAATAAGTTGATTTCAAATGTATACTGCCACTCTCTACCAATCATCAGACAGGTTTACTCCTGCACAAAGCTCCTCTCTCGTTCAAAGCATACTCTGTCAAAGCAGCAGCAGCCAAATCTCAGAGGACGTGTGCAGACATATCGTATTCCTAGTAAAAGAAAAAGAAGTGTGACATGAAAATAAAAATGTGTCGTTGAAATATGTCACTTCAAGGTGAATCCAGGTCTGCACTTGTGCTGTAGACCTACTTAATAAACCAAGAAAAGCTACAGTGCAGAATAGTAAGCTGATGAAAGCATCACGCCTTTATTTTCCATCATTAAATCTACACCAATCAAAGAGAGATGAAGATTAAGGGAAGCACATAGAGAAAAGCGTTAAAGGCATTGAGACAGGAAATGAAACGTGGGCTAGGGTGTTGGATAACGTTGCTTAAATCCATATTCAGCCTGATAAGCTTTATTCCGGTTGTTGTTTAGTGGTTTCCGCATAGGTGCTTGTTCTGCTTCCACCCAGCTATTGTTAATCACTGAATGTGATGCTACAGTGTAGGAGTTCCACCAACACAGTTCAGCGAGCTCTCGGTTGGTTTCATACCCATATGGGGAAACTCTTTTATCACACAGGAGATGTGTCTACCTACCTGACTGTTTGAAGACAAACATAGGAGTATTTTTCATCAGATTCTCCCGCTAGACGTGCCTGCTGAGGCGGTGGAAGGTTTTCTGCTAGATTTTTCAACCTAGACGAATTCAATCTGCTGTATGGTACATTTTACTTTGTGAATGACTAACGCCCTTCTGGTTTTAAGAATAAAAGGTGTTGTTCCATTCTATATCCACCTGGTGGCATGTATGCATAACAGAGTGCATGTGTGGGTCCAGTTCAAGGCAGGGACTACACACTACACAGTGTGGTAATGTGACATGCATTGATGCTATAGGAAGTTATTTTACCATTTAAAACCATCTGAGTGAGTAGACAGTGGCGTGTTTGTCTTTATCATTATGACTGCAGACTGTTAAACTGAGCAATGTTTATGCCCCAACAATCCTTACTCCTTAACTTTAAATGTTAAAGGTCCCATGTCATGCTTTTCCGGTTATTGCCCGTTCCCTTGTGTGTTATGTAGCTTTTTATGCACCAAGTGACGTAACGACGACCCAATGGACCAATTGGTCCAAATGGACCAATCTGTGGAGCTCCTCACACACCAGGATCCCTTGGCGTCACTATCAAACGCAGTGGCGGGACCTTTAGCGTCGATTTTCAACTATCAGGGAGTCCCATTTACTTGCATAGAGCTTTTCTCAGCCGCAGCTGCGTGGATCTCCACTCACAGTTCGCCACACACTCACGTGTGTGTGCTCAGGCTGATTTCAGGCTGAGTTTCGCCGTGTCTCGCTGTCTCGCAGACCCCACGCAGCAACCAGGAAACGGCGCTCCTCGAGTCTCAAAGGGCGGAGCAGCGAGCCCCGCAACGTCCAGCCAACACGGCACCCAGACCCCACGCAGCATTCTCATCTGTTTGTTTGTATGTTTGTTTGTAGCCTTTATTTATCCAGGTAAAAAATCCCATTGAGATCAATGATCTCTTTTACAAGGGAGACCTGCCGTCATTACTGGTGTCATTTTCTGGCTGCTAACAAACGCCATTGTAACACATAAACACACATCAGAGCACAGTGGGCTCATAGGGAGTGGGGGGGGGGGGGGGCAGGAGCTCCAACAAGCCGTTTAGGACACAGAGTGAATACACATACTATACAGAGATGCTGTATGAGAAAACCAATTTGATTTTGGAACATTGAACAATGTAAATCTATTTTAATATACCTCAACAATGGAATTATGATCAGTAGAAATGGCCATGATATGGGACCTTTAAGTTGTAATGTTACATGGGATAAACCAAAAGGGGACAAAATCCTTGAAAAACAGTTCAACAGGGCTTAATTAAAAACTCTTCAGGAAACCTTTAAGTCGAGCCTGTAGTGACTGCAATCGGTGCTCTAAGTCTCCAACGCTGTGTTGCACTATAATAACCTGCAAGACCATATGAGGCAATAGACATACTGAATTAAAGTTTACCGTTATTGCTATGGCTCATTTGCGTTTATGGCTTTCATTAGGGTACTTACATTTGGCTATGGGGACTCAGGCCTGGCCACTTGGCAGTTTAGTCTAACACACTCTATCTATCTATCTATCTATCTATCTATCTATCTATCTATCTATCTATCTATCTATCTATCTATCTATCTATCTATCTATCTATCTATCTATCTATCTATCTATCTATCTATCTATCTATCTATCTATCTATCTATCTATCAATCTATCTATCTACCTGTTTACTTATTTAAACTCACGGCAGGTGCTGACTGAGTTGCTGCTGACAACACACTCTTATTCAGAGAGGTAATGTGGAGCAAAGCGGTAGGGGAGGAATATGCATATTCAAAAAGAAAAGACGACATTTGTGCTGACTTCAACGTGTACAGTGTCGCTATTCCTCCCATGACAAGGCGATGTGCAGCTGCAGCGCTAAACAATGGTCAGGACTGACTATGCAGTTCAGGCAGGGGTCACTCCAGGGCACTCGGCCCTCTGGCAATGAACTGAGCAATGATTGTTAGATCAGAGGTCATGTCAGAGCCTGGCAGGGTGAAGAAATGCAGTATATGTCAGTTATAGCTAGATGGGTTCTGTAATGCCACCTAGCCTGAGTTGCTGACATGCTTGCCATTGATGAAGGGCCGAATTGATCATTAATAGTGACTGACACTAAATGAGAGAGCTGTTATTAAAGGGCCCATGTCATGCTTTTCCGGTTATTACCCGTCCCCTTGTGTGTTAAGAAGGTTTTTATGCATGTAAACGGTCTGCAGAGTCAAAAACCCTCAAAGTACACCCTGTAGCGAGTAAAACTCTAACACAGAAAAGACCTGTCTATGCTGCCCCAAAACGCCTCGTTGGAGATTTCTAATTTTCCATTGTTTGCTTCCTGGGTTCTGTGACGTGTGAACACCCAAATCAACAACAAATGACCGGACCAATCCGCGGAGCACCTCACACACCAGGATCCCTTGGCTGGTAAACGCTGGTAATAGACGAGTTGGGATCGCGGAGAAATGCTCTCCGCAGACCCATTCTCACAGCGTTATAAACCTTTTTCTTACTCAATATCAAGCCACACTTATTGTTTTTACTTTGGCTGTGAGTGTTTGTGTGTGCTCAGGATGAGTTTCGCTTGTACTCGCTGTATCGCCAACCCGGAAACCTGCCCGCTCCTCGCAGCAGCTCGCAACGCAACGAGCCTCGCAACGAGCCTCGCAACGTCCCGACCAATCAGAGCACACTGGGCTCACAGGGAGGGGGGGGGCAGGAGCTCCAACAAGCCGTTTAGGACAGAGAGTGAATACACATACTACTGTATACAGAGATGCTGTATGCGAAACCAATGTGATTTTGGAAAATTGCACAATTTAAATCTATTCTAGTAGACCTCAACAATGGAAATATGAGCAGTAGAAATGGCCATGACATGGGACCTTTAAGGAGTTAGAGACTGTGTGAAATTGGCAGGTAGGCTAATTCAGAGTGGCAGGAGTTCAGGAGTTGGTAAACATTTTTGGAAATCCAAAATGAAATTGATTTGCGATGATTAAGAGCACATCTGTAGCAGAACCAGACCGGTTTATTGTGTGTGTGTGTGTGTGTGTGTGTGTGTGTGTGTGTGTGTGTGTGTGTGTGTGTGTGTGTGTGTGTGTGTGTGTGTGTGTGTGTGTGTGTGTGTGTGTGTGTGTGTGTGTGTGTGTGTGTGTGTGTGTGTGTGTGTGTGTGTGTGTGTGTGTGTGTGTGTGTGTGTGTGTGTGTGTGTGTGTGTGTGTGTGTGTGTGTGTGTGTGTGTGTGTGTGTGTGTGTGTGTGTGTGAGTGAGTGAGTGAGTGTATGTGTGTCATGTGATTTCAAGACCCTGAAAATGTGACTGTGTCGAATAACCTCAATAGCTGTGAAGATATTATCTGATCAAAACAAATGGCTCCCAGTGTTTTGCCCAGGAACAAATTATTTATTTCACCCCGTTGCCAAGCAACAATGATATCTTGAATTTATATACAAGGCTTTTGAAGCCAAAAAAAATGATGAGTGACTAGCAGCTAAAAAGCTACAGTGGAGATGGAACTCAAACACTGCAGGGCACAAAACAAATAAATGTGCTGCGGATATTTCTCCATGAGCCTGATGCACAGTAAAACAATTTAATGAACTGTTTCTTAAATTAATTCTCCTTTGGTTTCTACATTTTATCAGGCAAACTAGCTTGCAGCAAAAACAAAGTAACAGAAAATAGAGATCTGCCCTGAAGGTACATTAACATACGCTTTAAAGTACAAGCTGACTTTTCCATTTGTGTGTGCATTCTGTTATGTCTAAGAATATCTGCTTGAATTAGTATGGAAAGTATCAAGAGAGTGCAAGTGGGAGAGAAAGAGAGAGAGAGGAAGAGAGAGAGAGGAAGAGAGAGACAGAGCAGAGGAGGATAGAGAGAGCCTGAGACACCAGCAAAAAAGGGGAACTGGGCGAAAGCAGAAGTGATTTCAGCGTCCTGGCAAGTTGCACATTCGCTCTAATCGAGAGGGAAGAGAAAGTAGGTGAGTGTGAGAGACTGGCTGGGGAGCGCAGGATTCATCCAGCAGCTGGGGGGGGGGGGGAATAAGTGACCGAATGGAGTTCCTCACAGTTGGAGTCTCTCCTTGGACTGAGTGACTCCCAGCAGCATCTCAATCTGAATCGTCAGGAGGAAGCACTCACACAGCCACCAACAGATCCCTCACAGACACACACATCACACTGAAGCTATGGGGTCAGTGAGTGAACTCTGCGTGTCCAGCCTTCAGACGTTCTTGTGTCCAGCCGTGAAGCCGCTTCAGCAAGCTCCAGGTAAACTCACATAACTGTGGGCCTTATGGTGTTGTTGTACGATTGTTTGTAGGTCGCTTGTTGTTGCATTATTTCCTGTAACATGGCTTAAAATAGACAAATCAACATCAATTAAAATACGTCTCATACTGGCGATAAAAACATGTTGATTGGCAGTGTTTGTGTCCTTGTACATGCTTGTTTGACCACATTCACAAACACATGGGATGATAACAGCGGGACAGAAATAGAGGTAGCTTCCCATGGCTAAGGAGGTTCTCTCATTAACTTAAAGCTCTGTACACACATGTGCTGAGAGGGATCGGGCTAATGTTATTACTTACTGAGTAGATCTAATCTCCAGCAGGTCTCACACACTATCCCCAGCCAAAACCCATTGAACTGCTCAAGATGACTTCTCACAACCTCTTTCACACATCGTATGGCAACACTAAAACCTCAGGTAAAAACAGCCACATATTTCTGCTTTTTCCCCAGCATTAAAACATTTCTCCCTGTTGCTGTCTTCTTCGATAACAGGGACAGCATGTTGTTGTGTTTACAGAGATCGCCTCCTAACCTGCATAAACAACTCTCATAATAACAGATGGAGGAGAAGTAGAGCTGGCTAAGACGTTGACCTCTTTAGGAGCTTTTTCATACACCCCATCTGTTTCTAAGACGTATCCCTTCACTTCACTGTAGTCATACCAGAATCTGAACTGTAATGGAGCTAGTTTGTGTTACTGTTTGTTTAGGATTGTTGGTTGTTAGGTGATGCAACTGCATTACCCTTCACTGCAGGGTTGTGTACAGGTTTCTATTGCGAGTGCTTAAAACTATGTTGGCAGACAGTGTTGACATGACTAAAGCGGCTTCGCTGGGTTGTGGTGAATCAGCTGACTGAATGCGTAGCAAAGGGGAAACAGTGCTGTCTCAGTGATTTTAAAAACACCTGAATCAGCACCATGGTCAAACATGAGAGGGGACTTCTTTTTAAACGCTACGTAAAGAATGTTCTGGTATCAAGAACATGGTGACAACAAAGATTATCCGATTGTTGTCTCGCTAAGAATAATTACTTGACACATTGGGTAGAATGGAAGAAAAGTTCTGGTTTGATATGTCAACGGGTTGTCATTTGAATATTTAGCCTCCCGTCTAAACTTAATATATTCCCAAAGGCTTTTTCCCAGCTGTCACCATCTGCAAGTGTCATTTCTTTGGATAAACCGTTATGAAACCTACATGTTGAAATGGCAGCCGTTGCATTTTGGACTCCTTGTGGTGGTAAGGGTTTGCGCACTATTCTGTATGGGTTGGTGTTTCTGTTTTTAATCATGAATCATGCTAGTGATTCATGTGTGACTCATCAAATGGTCGTGAGTTCTCATTGTATCATGTATCAGCATCACTACTAAATCACTCCTGAAATTGAGCCAAATGCTGTTTGACATGAAAAAAGTTATGTATATGAGTGATAGGTTAATAAAAGTCACCTGGCTGTTTCACTAGGTGACGTGACGGCTTATTTCCCAAAGTCTTTATGTTTCCCAGGGTAATTTACATTGATTATTTCAGTTTTCTTAGTCACTCTCCGTTTGCCTCTTAACTAATTAGGCCTACAGTGTTATGTCACTGCCCTTTCAGACTGTAAATGTTACTGTGAGTCTAACTTTCACAGTCTCTGAGTGTGACTCAACATGCCCAATGAATCTTCCCAGGGCACAGACTGGGACTGATAGCAGACAGAGCATCGCCCAAAGAAAACGTGATAGTAATTTAGATGCTTAATATCAGCGCTATTTGCTCTCTTAGGCCTGGGGTTTGCCATGATTTTCATTTATGGAAATTAGTCCATGTGGGCTCCAGCGGCAGTTCAGGAAAAAGTGATTTATTTGGGAGCACCAACAAGCCCGTCAGTGAAAGAGTGTTCAGAATATTTGCCAAATCAGCTTGTTGTTAAGGAGGAGGGTGATGCTATGATAGCAAACAACCTCTGTGTGGGATCCTCGAGATCGTGGGCCTCCTTTTTTAAGCTTGATATTACATTTGTTTTGGTTATTGGGTGATAGTCTTTTTGGAATCTCAACTTTGTATGGTGAAAAAGTAATGAACAATGAATATTTACATGAAAGACGATTATAATGATGTCTTAAAAGATACGTTTTTCTACTGGTAACACACAGTTTGATATGTTTTGGATTCTGAAGAGAACAGTCCCTGCCAGAGCTTCAGAGAGGCGTGTGTGGGAATCAAAACAAAGGCGAATGAAATCCATACAGCTCAGTAAGCCAACTAAAGTCCCTCTGATTGCTTGGGAGGAATTGTTTTCTCTGAGTTCTTGGTTTTTATCTTGAGGAAACGCAGTGAAATTAAGAGGCGTTTGTGATAGAAAATAATGTTTTTATTGTGTTTTATACTTTTTCTCTGACATGTATGGCATACTGTATCTCTTATTGTTGCACTGCTGATGTACGTATATCGACGCTGTCCTCTAACTCATCAAGCTTTCATGCCTGTGGACACAATCCATCTAGGAACAGAAGGGGCTTCATTGTGTCATTCCCTGACATGTATGCATAATGTATCACAGATGAACAAATGCTTTGTCAGCCTGCAGTCTACCAAGGCTTGTTGGGGTGATGTCAACTGCAGAAATGTATGTAGTGCAGAATGCTTTGTGTCTAGCCCGAGGAAGAGTGACTTCTAGACAGGCTGTCCAACTTCAGCAAGAGCTCTCTGAATTTCACACTCTCTTTCTAAAATGATTTGCAAAGTCCCATCTTCCGACAGCAGTATTTATGTATGTATATCTAATGTAAGAGTATGTGAGTTATACTGTAGGCTGCTTCAAAGGAAACACCTTAGAAAGTATACAATCTTGCTGTTAAGGAAACGTTAAGTTCATGTTGTATACTGTAATAGAGCTTTATGCATGTAATACAAAGTGATGGCTGCCCACAGATTTATCTTTCTCTCAGTACCACATCAGAAAGGTGAGCTATTTCCTTATTATGACTCAAGTCAATCATTAATGGCTCAGGTCTGCCCACTCCCTCCCTCGGAAAATTACAGGATGGATTTACCTCCGACTGCACCTGTAAAATGAAAGTGGTTTCAGGATCAGCTTGTGCAATGAGTCATGTTGCATGGCACATCAAAACTCCAGATGCAGCTAATGCCAAAGAATGCCTGCCATGCATGTAGAAATCGTAGTAACAGAGGAATCTTTCATGTCTGGTGTTTCCTTCTTTCAAGGTTACACAAACTACACTCTGGAAACTAATTTTGTTTGTAAGTATAATACATAAGTACACTATATATTAATACATTTTGCATGTGTGTAGGCTTTCCCAAATAATTGCCCTTATATTTCACAATTTAGCTATAGTTTTAGTGATATGTGTCCAGTGTGAGCTGTAATTACTCCAGATGATCAGCAGGGGTCATTCTTGGCATCTCTTCTGATTGTAAAAAATAATTTTCTCACTTTTCCAACCTAATTCAGGTTATTTAAACACCAATATTTGCTATTGTAGCTTAAGTTGTGTTGTTATGGTGATATGGCTAATAATAGAGCCTTGTGGTTTCAGGAACAACCCTGTGGTACAGTTACAGTTATAGCCATGATGATTAGAGAGTAGACCACTACATTGCCCCGGGCACACACAGCCGGAAACAGAAGCTAACCCTTCAGGCAAGACTCCCATTGGTTGTATATACATCAAGATCAATTTAGTTGAAATGTGTTCTCTGTATGCACATTTTAGAAAGCCGGCTTTAAAAACGGGGGTCTTGAGTTTGAAAGAAATTGACATTTACTAAAAACTAATATAAAGACTATCAAGTTGTATTTTGGGAAGAGTAGGATCCAGTGGAGGTTGGCTCATATAAAGTGCTAAAAACCATGATATCTCGGCCTCTGCATAATCTTTTTACAATATTTTCCCCCAAGTTCCCAAAATGCTGGTATAGTAAAGTGTTGACTCTATCCTAGCACATTTCAGAATTTGAAGACAGGGTTTTTTCTGCCTAACCAGTTGTGGAAACTTTCTGTGGGAAACAATATGGGGCAACATGGCTTGTGCAATGTCCATACAGCTGATTAGTTGGTCAGCCAGTTTTCACAAGAAGCTGGGGGGCACATTTTTAAACTCGAGAGCCAGGATTGCTCTCGAAAATCGGCTCTGTCACATGCAACCACACTGTAATCCAAGGGCTTAACAAAGTATGCCAAGATCAGCTATTTCATAACAAGGCTTTTGTGTGTTCAAAATGTTCAGGGATGTTATTGAGCTACTTTCAGCTAATGCAGATTCAGCTGCTGGAAAGTTGTCAAAAGAAGCTCTGTCCGAATAACTGATTCTATCTTTCCTATGTTGCAGACGGAGCAGCAGATGTGCTTAAGGACCAATATTACAAATAATGGAAACAAAATAGTATCGCCTGCCAGTATTTTTCAGTCTATTAATGTATGTTGAAATTGTTTCAAAAAAGTGTTGATGCATATTTTTGTATCTCTAAGTTGTTCTTTTATTGTATTACCTTAAATTGTCAGGCATTCCTGTTTTTTTTTCAAGCTAAATTGGCCTTAAAATTGTTAACAAAACCTTGTGAACAACAGAGAAGAGTGATGAAATAAAAAACATTGTTCTTTCAGGAAATGTCTCAAACATACAAAAACAAAACCCTCTTTTACATTTCAGCATCTAGTATGACGCTGCTTTGACGCTTGCATATTGAACTTCACATTTATTCAAGGGTCAGTTCTGTCAGGAAGTTGCAGACAACAATGTGTTGATATCAACTGAGGATCTCTTTATTTGAAGGTCAAACGGCGCTCTGGTTTCACTGGTACTGGGTTCTTCAGGATAGCAGCAGTGCTCTGGGGAATGGATGAACTTTCTAACAATGAATAGAAACTTTGTGTGAACAGGGTTCACTTCACGAACTACATTGTCAGTTGTTGAGTTTTGGCAGCACAACTGAGGCATTCATAGGCCACAGCTTGAAGCCTCTCAAATGAAGTATAGCCATGCAGACGAAGGCCTTTCAGGAGTGGGGTAGGATTTTATGCTTTAGGTATTGTGATGGAAACTTCTGAAGCAATGGAGACAGGACTCAGAGAGACACGGGGAGAGCAGGAACTTTGATGGAAAACACTGATGGTTTATTTGGAGCTTCGGCCGGAGAATTCACAAGACATGTGCTGTGCCACGAGTTGGCGGTTGCCAAACCAATTCTGATCTGATCTCTACCCCAGACCCATGTATTTAGCTAGTTCTGAGAGAATAATCAACATTTTGCATAACAAGATAAAACCATAAAACCTCTATCAGCTGACGCCAACAGGCAGGAACAGGGAGACAACACACTGAGAGCACAGCAGGCCATGGTTGCAGGCAAACTGGGTCAAAGGTGTGGGCCTGGGAAAATATTTCCCCAACAGGTATTATTTAG